CCCCCCCCCCCTTCCAGGCCAAAAATGTGCTTGGCGGCAGCGGCGGCAAGCCCAGCAAGACGGCGCGGGCGGTGGTGGAGCTGCAGGTGGAGGGCCAGCGGGTGGAGGGAGTGCTGGAGCAGCGCAGCAGCTGAGCCTGTCGCTGCTGCCCCGTGTGAAACGCCCCCGCAGGAGCAGGTGCCCGATGCCAAGGTTCTGTACAGCTCCGCCACCGGCGCGTCCGACGCCCGCAACCTCGCCTTCATGACCCGGTGGGTGGCCGGTCACAGATGCATCCAGTGCGCTGGCTGCACATAAATGCATGCTGGTGGTGGCCCGCTTCCCCGCGCAGCATGCCCACCGCTGCATGCCTCTGCGGCTGCCACCCTGCTGCAGGCTGGGCCTGTGGGGCGCCAAGGATGCACTACAGATGATTGAGCTGCTGAACAAGTGAGTGGGCCCCTCTTTAACTCTCATCAATATGCAGGCAGAGCCTTTGGTCGGTGCTCTTGGTTCCTGCCCTCCTTATCAGGTGTGTGCACCTCCCCAACTCTCCTGCCCCCCTGCGCAGGTCCCGCATGGGCGCGCTGGAGCTGACGGCGCTGTCGCTCAAGGCCACAGGCTCATACACCCCCTGCTGCACCTGCAGACCTGAGCCGCACGTTGAGCTACCAGGGCGCCGAGTTTGAGCTGCGCCAGGTGCCTGTGGACGACAGGTTCAAGTGAGCCCTCCCTACACAGTGCACATTCAGAGGACGGGCAGCCGAGACAGCCTGCACCTGCCTGGCCTCCCTTCCACCGACCCCACCACCCCCCACTCCCGCCCTGGCCGGCTGCCCCGGTGCAGGAAGTCGTACGACGTGAGCACTGCCCTGTGGGGCCTTCTGTGGCGCATCGCCGGCAACCTGCTGGCCCCGCGGCAGACGGGCGTCTTCTGGGTGCGCCCGCTGCCCGTGCTGCCCGGAAGCTGCCGTGGCGTGCAGGCCCCGCGCTGAGCGTGCGGCGCTGAAGGCGCGAGACACACCAACACACCCACAGATGCATGTGTGCCGAACCTGCCTGCAGGGCGCGCACCAGCGCTACTGGCGCCAGCTGGTGATGGCGGGCAAGGTGGACGAGCTGGTGGCCATAGCGCAGCAGGCCCTGGCTGCGGGACAGTGCGTTGTCATCGGCCTGTGAGTGGACGCCGCGCCACCGCCCTGCCGCCCGCTGGTTGCTGCCAGCGCCGGTGACTTGCTGCAGCCCGTGCCGCCCTGCCCAGATACATCGCCCTGAGGCAAGCCGGCGACGCATCCGTCAGCGTGGACAGCGTCATCTGTTCGGTCGGTGGTTGGACAGCGCACGGGAGGAGGAGGGAAAGTCAGAGTGGGAGGCTGGGGCCCAATTTTCCTGCTTTAGGCGCCGGTCTGCCTTACCCTTCTCCCGGGGGCTGCCTGCCTGCCTGCCCGTCTCCTTGCAGGCCGTGCAGGCGCTGCGCCACTGGTTTGGCATGATGGCTGGCGCCAGCCCCCCGCACGATGAGCTGAGCGCGGCGGGCATGCAGCCGTTCAAGGCTCCCTCGGATGAGGACAAGGCGGGCGTTGAGGTGAGGCACCAACAGCGCAGCAGGTTGAAGGAGATGGGACAGATCATGGGAGCACAAAGGAAAGAGCATGGGTGCGTGGCCTACCCTGACAGATGCCTACCGGTGTGCAGGCCAAGCCAGCTGAGATGGAGGCTGTGGTGCGGCAGCAAACGATGCAGAGGCTGGAAGCTGAAGTGGTGAGGGGCACAGGGAGGGAGGGCTTTCCAAAGGGTTCGCCTACAAGGAATATTACATCTGATCCTGCTGGTGGGGTCTTGTGCCTCCCCAACTCCCGGACCTCCCTGGCCCTCCCTGCCCTGCCTGGCCCCTGAAGGCGGAGGCGGCCGCGGCGGTGGCGGCGCTGGAGCAGGGCCTGGCCAAGGCAGAGCAGCAGCAGGGGCAGCAGCCCCGCCAGCACCACCTGTTCCCCATCTTTGGCAGGCCCCAGGGCACACAGCCGCCCGCAGCGAAGAAGAAGAAGAAGGCGGCACCAGCAATACCAGGCGGCAGCGCCAGGCCCGTGCCTGCCAAGGCTGCTCCTGTGGCTGCTGCTCAGGAGGGCAATGATCTCATTGAGAGCAGCAGTGATTCTGACGACCTGTTCCAGCAGCCAAAGGCCAGGAAGCCCGCCCCGCGCATGCCAGCACGCGGCGCTGCCACCGCCAATCGCAAGCGCCGCGTCCTGAGTGACAGCGACAGCGAGGGTGAGGTGGAGAACAACCCGGCGGCAGCCGGCGCTGCGGGGCCCAGCACCAGGAGTGTGCGTATGCTCAAGGGAGACCTGGCAGAGGCGCGGCAGGCGCTGGACAGGGTGACGCTTGCTGCCTCCCAGCCTGCCTGCACTGCCTCCCGAGCCACTTGCCTGCCTCACAGCCCACCCCCGCTGCCTGCCTTGGTCCCTGACCCGCATCCCTGACTCTCCACCTGACCCCCCTCCCCTGCAGGTGTCCAGCAAGCTGGCGAAGGTGCTGGAGCAAGAGCAGGCGGCTGCGCACCAGCCCGCCGGCGGCGACCACGCCGCAGCAGGTGGCTCCGCCGGCCGCCAGCGGCGCAGCAGTACCGCAGGCCCCAAGCAGTACGTTTTTAACAGCGACAGCGAGGACGAGCAGGACAAGGCGCACAGCCCCCAGGCACGCCGCGCCAACAGCGGCGGCAGCAGCGGCTCCAGTGGCCGCCACCGCCGCCGCCCCTCTCAGAGCGATGAGGACATGTCCGGGAGTGACTTTGAGAAGGAGGAGGAGGCGGAGATGGGCGGCATGGGTGAGGGCTGGCTGGCTGGCTGGCTCCCAACCCTGGCAGCTCCTATCTACGTGTCTTCCCTGTGCCGCTGCCCAATTCGTGGGTACTCGCATTGAGTGCCGCCGTCCCCGCTTCCTTCCCTCTCCCCACCAGCTCCCCGCCCTCGTCCCGCCCGCAGACGAGGCCATGCTGGAGGCTGCTGAGCTGGCAGATGAGGAGCTGCTGGGCGACCCCGCAGACCGGCAGGACGAGGAGCGGCGGCGCCACGCCTCGGTGCTGGGCCGCGTGCGCGACCTGCTGCTGGCCGTGGCGGCGGGGCTGGACCTGCCCCCCAACCCGCTGGACGGCATCATCGAGCGTCTGGGCGGCAGCAAGGCGGTGGCCGAGCTGACGGGTCGCAAGAGCGCCATGGTGGGTCGCGGCGGGGGGCACGGGTTCTCGAGGAGGGGCCTCGGGGCACAGGGCTGATCGAGAGCAGGGGAGGCAGGTAGCCAGCTGATGCAGAGCTCTCGCACCTCGAGCTGTGCACGCCTGACAACCTCACGCTGGTGCTGCCATGCAGGTGCGCGTTGCTGGCGGCAAGGGCGCCGCCCTGAGCCAGCGCAAGGACCCCAACCTGGTGGTGAGTGTGGTGCAGGGAGCTGGGAGGGCAGTGGGTGCCCGCTGGCCTCCCCCTCCCAGCGCCATTCGCCTTCCACATGCCTGTCCCATGCGCTGCCTCACGGTGCCCTGCGCCTCCCCCCTGCCCCCTCTATTGCGCCTCGTGCCGCCTGGCTGCCGTGCAGGAGAAGGAGGCCTTCATGAGCAGCCGCAAGCTGGCGGCCATCATCAGCGACGCAGCCTCCACAGGCATCTCGCTGCAGGTGGGCGGGCGGGCCGCCTGCCTGCCTGGGGGCTTGCAGCGCACCATGCCATCCCTCCTCCTTCCTCCTTCTCATCTCAATTGTGCTCGTGCTTCTTGTTGGTCTTGAAGTGGTTGAGAGTCTGGATTCCAAGCATCGGGGCTCATGCACGCTGTCGCTGCACTGCCCGCACCCCTTGCCGCCGACGCAGGCCGACCGCCGCGTACCGAACCAGAGGCGGCGCTGCCACATCACCCTGGAGCTTCCCTGGTCTGCTGATCGTGCAGTGCAGCAGTTTGGACGGAGCCACCGCAGCAATCAGGTGAGCGGGGGGGGGCGGGGGGGAGAGGGACAGCCGCCTTGGCGCACAGGCAAGCCACCATTGTGCCGAGAGCCGCCCTTAAATGCTTGCACCCCCCGCTCACCCCTTGCCCACCGCTCCTTGGCCCCCTCCCCTCCTCTCCTGCAGGCCTCCGCCCCGCTCTACAAGATCCTGGTGACGCCGCTGGCGGGAGAGTTCCGCTTCGCCTCGGCGGCCGCCAAGCGCCTGCAGAGCCTGGGCGCGCTGCTGCACGGCAGCCGCCACGCCACCGGCGCGGGCTCGGGTGAGCGGCAGCCAGCAGCATGCCGCTCACCCCTCGTTTGCCTGCATTCAGCTCAGCTTGCACGCCCCCTGGTGCCCTCCTGCAGAGCTGAAGAGCTTTGACGTGGATAACAAGTACGAATCCCTCCTGCTTGGCACCTGCCCTGGGCTGTCAGCTCCGCGGCTCTCGCCTCTCGCTCGTATGCCCCCATGCACACCTACCCACCCGTAACCCCGCCCCGCGCCCCTGCCTGCAGGTACGGTGCGGAGGCTTTGGACCTGGTGCTGACCGCGGTGCTGGGCCGCGAGTTTGGCTCCGCCCGCAAGCGCTCCAAGCTCAACGTCAAGGTACCCTGCTGCGGGGAGTGTCAGGCTGGAGCCTCAAGGATGCCGGTGCCTCTGGGCCCCGTGGCAGAGCCCCCTTGTGTTACAGTCACCCCGCTATGATAGGCCGCGTGAGCAGACCTTGGGCAGGGGGCACACGTGATCAAGGGGCATCAAGAGAGGGGGTGGACCATGGAGCACCCTCTCCATGGCTCCGACCACCCTCCCCCCAGCTGAGCGTCCCAGGGTCACCCCACCCTGGCCCCGCTCCCCGTCCTGCCGGACACGCAACCCCCACAACGTGGTGGGGGACGTGGGGATCCTTAGCAGCTTAGGCCTGCCAGGCCGACGGGTGCCGATGCTGGTGCGGGCTCCCGGCGGCAGGCAGCGCCGCCGCCGGGCACTCAAATGGCATGGGGCACATGGGCCCCCATGCCCGCACATCTCCCAGGCACATGAAAATACCAGAAGGCTGCACATGTAAGGGTGCATGCATTGCAGGCAGGAGTGCAAAGTGGCCTGCCACGGCGGTCGGCTGTGCCATTACTCAGTCAGCCGCCGCTACCGTGCCGGGCTTGGCGTTCCCATGCCAACATGCCGGCGTGCCATCGCGCAAGGGGCCAGTGAGTGTGTGAGGCGGAGGTGGGGGTGGTGGGGCTGCCGCTGACCGTTGCTTGCTGACGCTGACGCTGCTCTTACCTGCGGGGGGAGGGGGTGGGTCGGGAGCCAAGGCCGGGCAAAAGATGCCTGGGCTCCTACTCAAGGGAACCGAGGGAGTCACTGTGCTCAGGGCAGCAGCATG